TCCTATTGGTTCTATCTTCAGTTCTACCCAGAATCTAAGTTACTCCTCATACACTCTGTACTATCACCCCAAGGCCCAGCCGCCGCCATCCCTCACAGGATTAGGATATTAGCTGACTGGCTTGCCTATTTCCTCCTGTGCCTTCCTTGAGACCTCTTTCAATTCAGCAGTCACAGCAATCCACAGAAGGTACGTGGGTCAACGTCATTTCACTGCTCAATACCCTCCACCACCGGGCTCCTACCATTCCCCTCATTCATTTGGCTCTGGCCACACTAATGTCCTTGCCGTCTCTGAGCACACCCCGCATTTTATTTCTTCTGCCTACGCACTTTATTTCTTCCTTTACACATCCATAGGACTCCCTTTCCTCACCCCTTCGTTCAAACTCTCCTTCCTGGTGAGGCCTGCCTCGATGACCGCATTTCCCAGTGTACCCCCCCACTTTCCGGCCCCACGCGTGGCACTCCCTGTCTCCTGTCCTTGTTATGCCCCGTCATACTTACCACCTGATAGCTTTTACTTATTCAGGCTTCCTTCTCCCTGTGGGTTCTAAGCTCCAGCAAAACAGTGATTTTGACAGTATCCTCACTCCCGACACATATTTTGATGTAGAATTTAGGAATGAGACTCAGGCTCAGAATTTGGAATTTAATACATCAGCCCACATTCCAGTGTTTCCCAAACTTTAAAAATGTGTTCCACATTAACACAAGTATCTCAGGCTCTGTATTGAAAAGGGTCTCCAGGTGAGAATCACGGTCCCACCCACGCATCTGTATCAGTAAGATTTTGTTGAGCTTTTTCTGTCGTTTGAATTACAAAAAGAGGTGTTTGTATTTTCAAGTGTAAAATTATAATGTTGACTATGCCTTTTCAAACTATATACCGCCTCCCCCCTGCCCCCCAGCCCTCTGTCTCCTCTGGGAGATTCCAATAGGCCTCTCTAGGGGTCACTTACCCCATCCTGCATTGAGAATCCATCTAAAATGATGGGTGCTTCTTGAACAGCCAGTGTGGCTTTCTCAGTTCTCAGTTGAGAAATATGCTAAATTTGGAAAACAATGTTGTTCACTACAGGCAAAAGAATTCTTCCTTGATGAGCAAAAACTTTATATATTTAAGGACTACACGCCATGTCAAAAAGTAGATCGACACAAGGAAAGCACAAAGGTTCTGATGGTATGAAACAAAGAGGATTTGAACTACAAGGCAGAGAACAAAACAAATCTTTTTTTTCTTTTTATTTAAACAAAACAAATCTTGACAGGACTTTCAACAGGTTACACCACCTCTGTTGCTAAAATAAAATGCAGGCATAAGCTTAAAATATGGTGCAAATGGTATCACCAAGCTAAGAAGTCAAATGGCAAAATTACAAGCCAAAGAATGAACCTTTTGGTCACAGACAGGTAAGAATGCCTATGAGGAATCAAGACCAATAGTCTCTGAACATGGGTCCGTTGAGTTTGAAGCATGTCATGTCTACTCAAGAAAGGTTATTCTCTGAAGGTCACTGACTTGGGTGTAGTAGTGTCAGCAATCAAAATCCAGCAGTGCGAACTATGCCTTCTTATTCTGGTGTACACATAAAGGGACTTCATTTGGCTTCAGGGGTCTCCTCTTCTGGAATCACGCGGTTTTGAAAGGGAGAAGTATGGCACCCTCTCTCATTAAAGAACTAGCTTGTTTACATCATAGAATGTAACTCGAAGTCTTTGACATTTCTGACAAGTTCTTTTCTAATACATGAGCTAGCCTGAGTAGGATTCTGGTATTCTGATAAAAGTAGGATCCCTAGATAATCAGAACCCGATTCCTTCCTCTTTATTAACCTTAAACTCTTCTGGAGTTACAAGGGCTAAGTTTTACGGAGGTTTATTTAGAAATGCTAAGAGGGCTGCTGTGGCCCTAATGGGGAAGTATTCTGGCTTCTCTCCTCAGGGGCACAAGTTACCCACTAACCTGGTCTTTGGTGCTGTTACTTTATATTCTCTAGACAGGTCAGCAAGATGGCACAACATGGTCAAATTCTAACATCTGGAAGGATTGCACTGAAGGTCAAGCTACAGGGCAGAGTAATGTACAGGAGTCAGTGTAGGACCTGAGTAACCAGAAGCTCTGATGTCAACTGTTTTGAGAAAAGTAGAAATGGGATTCTTCAAAAAGTCTAAGATAGGCTGAAAAAGTCAGCTCTGAACTACTTACCCAGACAGGGACAGGGGTGGAATACAATCCTGCATGCTGGACGTGCCCGGCTATCGGGAATGAAGAGATCCTGCATGGTGCCTCTATACTGGAGGTCCTCAAAACAAGTCTGTTGAACGAATGAGCGAATAAGGACCACAGTCCATCAAAAATCAGCTAAGTTAAGTGCAAGAAAAGAATCCTGAGCACTTTTAAAACAGATGGCTTTGTTCTTCTTTGTTACTGAGAACTTCTCATGTTTGCTATTCCCTTACTGATAGGCAAGGTACATTAATTTTAAGAAATCTTAAATCAGTAAGAAAGTAAGGTCTCACAGAGAATAGACAGGCTTCTTGTAATTTATTTGAGTTATTTCCAAGCGACAGTTACAAAAGTTTTTAATTTTTATAATACTCTTGATAAGAAAATAAAATTTAAATAAAAATACATTCTCAACAATACAACATGGTTACACAAATTCTTAACTACATTAAGTTTTGATAACTTACATATTCAAATTGGACACTGTAAAAACCAATATTTACTAGCAACATATTAATTTCCAAGTTAATAAAAATGGAAGCAGATAATATCGGTCAAGACAGGTAATTTAACTCTAGAATGAGTCCTGTATTTTTCGCATACTGTAAGGACACCTAAAAGGCTTTTTATAGCATTGTCATTACAGGATGTACCGTTAGAACAAATTAAAGGTGCTTTTACTTAAAAAAAAAAAAAAAAGGAAAGAAATCTGTTTTCTAAAACCTGGCATGAATGAGCCTTTCTGATAAATGAATGAAATTAGGCTTCAGAAACAAACAAAAGCCACATCATTCATCACTTTTTTTTTTTAATAATAAGGAAAATCTAGTTTTGACATTTAACCATTACCCGTGACATTATAAACACATTTCTTTGGCAAATAAAATCATTCAATTTGATAAATTATACTCCTGGGGGTAAAAAACTTAGCTATTGCCATCATCTTAGTAAATGAATATTAAAAAACCAAACTAAAAAAAAAACACAACAAACAATAACAAGAATAGATCACCACAACTACAACTGATGGAAATGGCTAAACTAAGAACCAGAACTGGCATTTATGGCAAGAGTTTTTAAATCATCCTTTTCTCTCCTTCTATAAGCATTTTCAGGTTTTCAGGGTGAAGTGAGCTGCCATGTATTTTTTTTCAAGTGTGGAAAAGGCAGAGAAAGCAGATCTGGTAGCAAAAATCAAAGTACTCGTAAGTATAACAGCAGAGGAATGAGGCCCTTGGAAGCAAGTACCTAGGTTACTGTAGGGTCCTACTGACACGGTCTCTTATTTCAGTAGACTTTCAAAGAAGATTAATTTAATTTCACATTACTTCTTTTTGGCTGTGCCAAGCTGGTTAATTCCAGTCAAATAGGCTGTTTAAAAGTGTCATGTGAAGAAAATAACTATATGACTAAACTCTTCCGTTCAAATTCAGTTACGTATTCACACAGCCTTGGCCCCTTTGACAATGCCATGATCTTTAAAGGCAATCATGATTGGGGATTTGATATTAGAAATACTTAAAAAATATTTCTTTTGCCTTGAAGAAGAGCAGAGGGCTAAAACAGCCACTAAAGAATAACAAGTGGTACTTGGCAAGGCTCACATGTCCTTTTCAGGTAGACATCTCAGAGACTCTTAAAAGGAAATTTCAATCTGAATGAAATTCAGCAATGAGAAATTTATTAAATGGTTAAATTCTTTCACATTTATAAATCAGTGTAATTTATGGAATACACAAGCTCATAAAATTTAAAGGAGTCTTTCAAACTTGTCTTTAAAGTGGGCAGGAATAAACCTATCATAATGGAGACTAGGACCGATTCTTAAATAAAACCAATTGATTTTCACAAGTCGCTTAGAGAAATACATTGCTCAGTTATAATCATTTCTGGAACAACTCTGATTGTGTGCCAATGGTCTTTAAAAAAATTCCCTAGTAACAATATAATTTAAAAACAATTACTCACCAATAACAAAACTGGCAAAGTGTATCCTGATATATAGCTTATGCTCAGGAAAACAAAAAAAGCACTACTAGCTAGACTTACATTAATAAGTCACAGTTTTAAACAGAAATATGTAAATACTCCAAGGTTCAAAGTACCACATTTAGAAAATGTTTTAAATTTTAAAAGACAAAATAAGAGTACCATGGTTTTTAATACTGATGAAGCAATGTGTATCCCTCTTAACTTCAAGGAGGCAACTTGCTTCGACTGCTTATTTACAATTATGGTTTTGAGGATAAAAGTAAATTATTAGGGAAAAACAGGATTCAAACAGTTGCTTGCCCAAACTCCATTTGGCTAGCAGGAAATAAGAAAACAGCAATGAAATATAAACATTTTCAGGAAAGCACTATTTCTAGACTTAAACACTGATCATTCAACTGATCATAAAGATTAGATACCACAGAGTATCTAAAGTATAATCTGGGGCAGCCCAGATTATTAAAGTGCGCCAAGTGACTGTTTTCTAGTTAACTCTCACCCTCACACTAGGAGGAGGGCGTCCTTATGGTGGCCCTTATAATAACAGGTGAAGTCAAGTGATTCTCCCACCACCTTCTTTCACTGACTACTGTCTCTTCTTTTTCAGAAGAGATGTCCTTACAAGTCACGTTAACTTGAACTTTCAAATCAAGAAAATGAGTACCTGATATTTAAAACAATGAAAAAAAATTTAGTGGTCTCACTGTATTTCAACTGCCATCACTCATCCCAAATGTAAACAAGATGCGCACAACAGTATATGTTCCCTGATTCCTCCTGAGTTCTGTTTACATCTTTAAATAGGCAAAAGGAGCTACCAACCTTCAAGGATGCTCTGGCAGTTTTCAAAAGTCCCTATTGTAATCTGTAATGACTAACAGACAAAAGGAAAATCTCTTTTTTTTTTCTTTTTTGAAGAGGGAGGGTCTGGATGAACTAAATGGAAAGCTCTGAATTGTCATGGACTGGATTTTCTAGTAAAACACAATATTGGCAGTATAGAGCAGGCACTAATGGTAGTGAAAAGTCCACAGAACATGGAGTGTCACAGGAAGAGATGGTTTCTTGTTATGGAAGAGTTCTCCTTTTGTTATAAAGCTTCTTTAGGAAGATTCTATTAAAAAGAAGCTGCAGACACATGGCTTTTGACATAAAAGATACGAAGGGAATCTTGAATTTCAAATTCTCTAGTAATGCATCAATAGCAGGATTCCCAGTTACTTTCAATTATTAAATATTAAATACAATGTGAATATAGGTGACACTGAAGCCAATGTTCATTCTTAAATACCAGGAACAAAATAAACAATGAATTGAAAAACTCCAACAAAAATAGTATTTTCCAGTTCTTCTGAATCAGTTGGTCATACTCTAAGATGTTTTTCCTACAATTGGATTTTCCCTAGAAAATAAAAGAAAACCATTTTTCAAAAGATAGATATATAACATTTTAAAAAGTGACAAATTATCTCACAGTATCCATTAAGTATTTGTAATTTTCCCTTGATAATCTCTCATGTCAAATCTTTTTTTTTTTTTTTTTAAGATTTTATTTATTTATTTGTTTTTTTTTTTAAGATTTTATTTATTTATTTGTCAGAGAGTGAGGACACAAGTAGGGGGAATGGCAGGCAGAGGGAGAAGCAGGTTCCCTGCTGAGCAAGGAGCCCGATGTGGGACTCGATCCCAGGACCCAGGACCGACTGAGCCAGCCAGGCATCTCTCTCATGTCTAGTCTTATTTCATTAACTCAACAAGTATTTACTGATCATTAAATGTTAGGCACTATTTTAGAAGCTGTGGATACAGCAGTGAACAAAATAGACAAAACCTTGCTCTCACGGAGCTTACTTTCTGTTATAGGGAAAGTAAAATGAACAAGGAAACTAGTACAAGATAGACTGATTTTCTTTTAAGATTTATTTATTTATTGGTGGAGGGGAGAGGGAGCATGAGCACCTGTGTGCTTAGAGGGAAGGGCAGAGGAGAGAAGCAGACTCTCACTGAGTGGGGAGACAGGGGTAGGGCTTGATCCCACAACTCAAGTGGAAATCAAGAGCTGGACACTCAACCTACCGAGCCACCCCGGGCACCCCAAGAGACTGATATATATATATTTTAAAGATTTTATTTATTTATTTGAGAGAGAGAAAGTACAAGTGAGGTGAAGGGCAGAGGGAGAAGCAGGCTCTCTGCTGAGCAGGGAGCCCGACGTGGGGCCCGATCCCAGGACTCCGATATCATGACCTGAGCCGAAGGCAGACACCCAACAGACTGAGCCACTCAGCGCCCCAAGACTGATATTTTTTAATGGAGAAAAATAAAGGTGAGAAAAGGTAGGGTGGTCAGGGGTGGGGGATAGGTACTATTTAAGAAGAGTGGTCAAGCACTGGCTAGGACCTCAAATGGAAATTTCTGGGGACTCCAGGAAAACTATATTAGCACTGCTGGAAGAGAACCCATTACACTAATGTAGAGAAGACAGGATTCAGATGGTTACAATAACCTTTTTCTATCCGGGGAGAACACACATCTGTCAAACTGATTTTTATTGTTCATAAACCACAAATATAATTAATAATCACATTTTTTAAAAAGAGAGAGTGGGGAGGGGCAAAGAGTGATGGGGAGAGAGAATCCCAAGCAGGCTCCTCGCTCAGAGCAGAGCCTGGGGAGGGGGTTCCCCTCAATCTACAATCTTGAGATCATGAGCTGAAACCAAGAGTCAGATGCTCGACTGACTGAGCCACCTAGGTGCCCCAATAATCACATTATTTTTAAAGAATGCTTAAAACAGTGGGGCCAGTATTCAAAGCCCCTCACTAATCAGCTGTATGACCTTGGACAAAGCACTTAACATCTGTGAGCCTCAGGTTCTCTAGCTGTAAAATAGGAATATAACCATGTTGGACTGATGTGAAGATGAATGAGACAGTGTACACTGTGGACTAAGAACGATCCCCTCCCTATTCACCTCTGTGCAAACAGAACTCTGATCCTGGTGCTGATACTGTGCAGCCCCATGTTCCAGGGAAAGCTCGGGGTAACTTTAGATAAGGTTCTTTTTTCTTAGTGAGAAGGAAATAATGTCTTTCTGCCTCTGGATACTATTATATAAAAATAGTGAACTGTTGCAGCTCATCCATGACCATGAAGGGACAAACCTTAGGAAGACAGAAATCATCTTGTTGAGGACGGGTAAGTAGCTGGATGGTCCCTGATAACAATATTGAGTTGCTGGACTAACCAACTATGGAAGTTAGGACTTAATTTGTGAGATTAAAAAATTTCCTCTTGTGGGGCGCCTGGATGGCTCAGCTGGTTAAGAGTCTGCCTTCGGCTTGCGTCATGATCTCAGAGTCCTGGGATCGAGCCCTGCATCAGGCTCTGTGCTCAGTGAGTTTGCTTCTCCCTCTCCCTCTGCCCTACCCCGCAGCTCGTGCTCTCTCTCTCTCCTAATAAATAAATAAAATCTTAAAAAAAATTAAATTAAAATAAAATTTTTCCTATTGGTTAAGCCACCTCAGTGGGGATTCTAAAAACACGCTACATAATATGATGTAAAATAGGTACAGTGCCTGGTGGTGGACTAAGCTCCTAATAAAGTGTTAGACGTTGCTGCTGTTTTCCACTGTAATAGTCACCTACATCTGAGATGGGTTCAAAGAATCAACTATAAAGTACTTGTAGCATTTTCACAGGTGATTTTTTTTTTCAGTACTTAGTATGTATAAGGCACTGTGGAAGATATTAAGATGGAAAAGGAAGGGTAAAAACAAAACAAGAACAAAAGCTACTACGTTATTTGACTTAATGAAATAATGTGAACATTAAAAGTGGTGATCAAGTACAGCACCAATATAACGAAACAATAGCAGAACTGCAAAGACAAAGACCACTGTGTGAGTGGCCAGGGGAACTTTTTCACAAGAGAAAGGTTCTGAGCTCGGTGTCGAAAGATGAAGGTAAGCAGGAAGTCTGCATGTCAGGTGTGAGTAAAGAGTAGTAGTTGGAATCTCACACGATGTTTACAAATACGTTTAAAGAATCTTAAGAATACTTACTTGCTCCCATATTTTGCACTACTTGATCTTTTCTTCCTATACTTTTCATGAGGTTCATCTAGCTTCTCTATGATGCTTTTAATTTGCTGAATTGTCTTAAATGTTGTTACAGAATCTTCAATTACAAAGTTAGAATAATCATCAGGCTCTTTCTGTGGTCCTTGGTAGACTGCTATAGTTCCACAAGCCTCTAAAAGGAGCAGTAAAATCTCTGATCAGAAAACTAATTCCATAAATGTAATTTTTAGTATACATAAGAACTTTCTGAGTGTCTCAAGCTGGGAAGACTTCCCCTGGAAATGCACAGATAACCCACATACTTTCATTTTATTAATTACGAACAGCCCATTTATGCAAAAAAAGTATTTTTGTGAGTATCTGTGAAAAATGCCCCTTTGGGAGTTTATCAATGTCCACATAAGCAACATTTTGGTAAAGCTACGAGTATTTTCAACTTTAAGATAATGCCAAAGCAATTACTTCAGGAATTGGTAACAAAGGATCATGGTTATATAAAAATATTTTAATTGTATATTTACCTTCCATTTTCTGCAGCTTAAGTAAACTGAGGGTAAAAAGGGAATAAATTCTTTCTGTTTCTCTGTCTTCATCAATATCTATTTGGATGTCTGCAGGGACACCTCTATGATAAAAATGAAATTAAAGACATTGAAAAATTTCATTTTGTTAACATGCCAAAGACTTTTGGTGACTTGAGATTAAAAAGCAGAACCTCAGAACTTTGCAGGAGGAAACTCAGACATCTAGTCTCATTTGACAATTTAATAAAATGGGGCCAAGAGAGTTTTGGTCATTCTAGAACTCTAATCCAAAATCCAATCTAAAGAGAAATCATTTTCATAACACTTATGCTTCAGCACAAAAGCAATACATTACTTCTTAAGTCCATAGGGCTACGATGGCTGTTCCATACAATTAGAAAGAGAATGCAAAGTTCTTCCTTGCTCAGGCTTATGCATCTACTTCGACATTGCTCGCCCCACCCCACTTTTTTTGACTTGTGCCAACCACTATTTATTTGAGAACATTTTCATCACCCCAAGAAGAAACCCTGTATCCATTAGCACTCCCCAAACCTTCCTCCCTCCAGGCCATCACAACCACCAATCTACTTTCTGTCTATAAATTTACCTATTCTGGATATTTTTTATAAAAGTCATCATATAGTAGTATATGGCCTCGGTTTCTGGCTTCTTTCACTTGGCATTTTTCAAGGTCCACCCGTGTTGCAGCATGTATCAATACTTTATTCCATTTTATGGCTGATAATATTTCATTCTACTGATATACCACACTGCTTTTTTTAATCAGAAAGAAACTTACGCAGTACATGGCTTGCAGCCGAGAGCGTTCTCACTGGTCTCCAGACAGCAGAGCCAGTTTCCGTTGAGATATGCAGAGGGGTGATAAAAGCTGAGCCTGTTCTGATTGCATCGGCTCACCCTGCAGAGTACGTCTATCCATTCATTAGCTTCTACACAATTATTTGCCTGGACATAGAGTGGTTTCTCCATATGTATTACTTGGAACATCTTCATAGGCAATTAAGATAAAAAGTTAGTAACAGAGTCTAAAAACCAACACAGTACAAACAGAAAAAGGTATAATAAGAGAAAAATAGTTTGCTTGGCTAGATAACTGCTGCTCGGGTATCTTACAAATTGTTACTTTTCAAGTAAATTAGTTCCAAGGACAATCTGAGTCACATGGTACTAAGTACAACAGAATATAATTTTTAGAAGTCACACATGTCCAAAGAATGGACTATCATATAAACAGGAATGAAGGGAGGGAACTGCAGATGGAGGAAAAAGTATGAGTAAGGGAAAAGCAGTAGGAGAATACAGAGAAACAGGAAATCACCCTGATTGGTTTGAGTATACAGTACATAAGATTGCACAGACTGGCTGGGACTATATTATTAAAGACTTGAATATCAAGTTGAAAGGTCAGATTAGAGAAGTACTGAGAAAAGTACCTTTAACTTAATAGGCTAGGCAGACTATATAAGGCATCAATAACAGTGGACAATTTTATTTATTTTTAAACATTTTATTTAAAAAAAATTTTATTTGAGTATAATGGAGACACAATGTTAGTTTCAGGAAAAATAATGGACAATTTTAAGACAGTTCTAGCCAACAATTAAAATAGTAATGATTAATGGCAAATACAAAACAACCTTGAAAATTTTCAATCAAGTAATATGTGCAATTTAAAAAGCTTTAAATGATTATTCATGTAACTTACATTTTTCTTATTGAAAGAGCTCTCTTCCAGTTTTTCCACAGCAAGAATGTTTTTCACTGGAATTGTGTAAATTGCATCTTTGCCTAAATAATAAAAGAAGTAGAACAAAATTAAAATGATTTCCATCAGAATTCTAAGAGGTTAATTACATAAGGTTTAAGCTCATCCTCTTCATAGTAGGAATATAAGTAACCTAAAGATTTCCTAATGATATACATATAAATATTCTTTGTTTTATGGAACAGATGAATTTTGCTTGTTTTCTTTAAGTTACTTTCTCTTTACCTTTTTCAATATAAAATTTAAAACATTTTTAAAGAAAAATATGGGAATAAATTTGATCTTGATATAGAAAACTAGAATGTTGTTATATTTTGTAACAATTATATGGGAACTGAAAAAATAATATACTTAGCAGTAGAGGCCTGGTCAATACTTGCCCAGACATGTAATTTTCTTTCAGGGAGTTCTCACGTAAGGGGTGAATCAGACTGCTAAGCGGATTTTTCTGTTTTAACAGTCTAATATTTAAGGGATTGACGCTGAAAACAAGATTTAAAATTGAAAAGTTGTTTATTACTATCATATATTGGCTGAACAGATGACTAGAACTACCAAATTTACTCTAAGAGATATAGGGAACAAGAGTAAACATTTTATTTGTTGAGTGAATCATTTACACCTAATTTAAGAATTTGGAAATTTGAGTTTGCCTTTTAAAGGAACTCCACTGTAATATGGCATGATGATATGATGCATTTTGATTTACAATTTACCTGAGAATAGACTATATCTCATATCATAAAAACTATAAGCAAATATAGTTATGGCTTTTCCTGGTCATTCTGTAATGTTCTCAGAAAAATCGAAGCTTTGCTTTAATTCTCCCAGAGTTTAACGCAGAGTTTAATGACATGTATACTGAAGCGCTGGAAGTTAAGAACTCGACATTCATACTGGTCCATAGGTTAATGTACAGCTTTCTGGTCAAAGACAATTATTTGGTTAGTAAATGTTTTGGGTCTTGAACAGACAGGTTAACCTAAAATATTTGTTAAGCCTGGCTGCTGGTATAAAATCTAAAATTTGTGTAATTCAAGCAGATCTGATGTATAATTTTTTAGAAAAGATAAAGTTACTTAATTAAACTATCATACATTTAATGTCTAGTATATACCAGACACTCTTCTAACCACCTGGGATACAGCAGTAAACAGAACAAAAAAGGCCCCTAATGAAGTGTGCATTTAGGTCTGGAAAGACTGACAAAAGACAAATATTAGGTAGACATAGATGTTATAATGAAAATAACCTAAGGTGATATAATAGAGAGTAGCTGGGAAGTTCCTTTAAATTGGATGGTTAGGGAAAACTTTTCTCAGGAAACAACATTTAAATTCAACAAATACAAATCCTAAGTGCATGAGAAAATAAGACTATCACCAGTATCCTGGAAGCAGACAAGATCAAATTTATGGCAGCGGGGGGAGAGGAGAGTAAACTGAAGGAAGCCACAGCCCGAACCACATGTAGGAAAAGACATCTGCAAAAGTAGTAGTTAGAAGACAGCTTCAAGCCAGAGTCACTGGACACAGACAGACGGGGAATGGGGACACAAGGACACACACACACACACACACACACACACTCAGACATACATCAGGATGATTAACAGGTCAGCTGCGTCTGGAAGAGCTCCCCCTCCCTCAGCTTGTACCAAGCGGCAGTCAACAGAGGTTTGTTTCCCAGGCTAAGCAGCAATGGTGCCTACTGGGGTGGCAGAGCGATGCCCGTCACAGGTAGTTGCTGGCCCTCAGGAGGGAAGGAGAGCACGCACACCAGAAGACGAGCAGCAGGCTTGCCCCTCGGCAGCCTGTCCTGTACCTCCCTCACAACCACTGGCAGTAAGCTACCGAACACTCAAGCAGGTGAAGAGTGTAAAAACACACAGATGAGCAAATTGCCAAAAAGATCACCAAACGATGAGGGAAATCAGCACCCTGAGAGAGACACACAGACACAACAAAGAGGGTAACCTTTGAGGAAATGAAGTACCTCTGGGTACTGATCTACATGGAGTAGCACCACAGAGATTCCAGAGAATTTAGTAATTTTGCAGGAAGTTTCTATCTTTAGATTTGTTTAACACACACAGCAATCACATACCCTAGAACTGCTATATTTGTTCATTTCTGGGCAAATTATAACATAGCATATGTAGACAAAGTATATTGCTTCCAGGCACATATACTATCATGATGTCATCAGAGTTACCTTCACAGTTACTAGTGTTAACTGGAATGAATTGCAAGGTGATTAGATTTTACTGAGGACTCTCCAAAAATACAGTACAAAAGGACAAAGAAACAGAAAGTTAAAAAAGTTAAGAACCATGATGGATGGATGTATAAATTCCAATACCTAATAAGAATTCCAGAAACAGAAGAGAAAGAGTGTTCAGGAGAAAATGACCAATGAAAATGTCCCAGAGATAAAAAAAAAAAAACAGGAATCTCCAGACTGAAAGGATCCAACAAGTGCTGAGCAGCACGGAAGGAAAAAGTCCATAACCTCACACTGGGGAGTAAAATACTAGAACTTGAAGGCTAAAGAAAAATAAGAGTTACTAGGGAGAGGAATCAAGACACAATCAGACTGACATCAAAATTCTCACCAGCAACAATGGAAACTAGCAAACCATGGAGTAATATCTTCAAAGTTCTCAGGGAAAATGATTTTAAATCGTCTATCATTCAAGAGTAAGGGTGAAATAGGCTTTTTTTTAAAAATTATGCATGGATTCAGAAAATTTACCAGCCATAAAGCCTACTGAAATAATTCTTTGAGGAAGCACTCTTGCAAAATAAGTAGTAAATGCAGGAAAAGGCAAATATGTAAGAAATAGTGCTGAGCAAAGAAATCAGCAAAACTGACAAACATGGATAGAAAATCATGAAAGAGTAATGTTAAGAAGGCAAAAGAAAAAGAGAACCTAGTCTTAACAGTTCCACATGACTTCATTATGGAGATGCTTGGGAAAATAACAAATTGAAAGCAACCTATTATTCTTTTCCTAAGTGAATGGGGACTTTGATTTACTGTAGACATTAAGTTAAACATCTAAGTTTAAATTTGTTAACAATCTTAGAGTACAAATAGGATGCCCAAATTCTCTCACGGGGTGGGGGACGGAGGGGAAGAAAGCATGCAATCAAGGGCTTGATTATTCCAATAAAAAGGCAGGAAAGGAAAAATAAACCTAATGAACAGAAAAGCCTAGTAAATAGAGAATACAAAACAAAGCAGTAATCATAGTAATCACAATAAATGTGAGTGCATTAAATTTCCCCTTAAGGGGCGCCTGGGTGGCTCAGTCATTAAGCGTCTGCCTTCGGCTCAGGTCATGATCCCAGGGTCCTGAGTTTGAGCCCCGCATCAGGTTCTCTGCTCAGCGGAGAGCCTGCTTCTCCCTCCCCGCTGCCTGCAGCTCCCCCTGCTTATGCTGTCTCTGTGTCAAATAAATAAATAAAATCTTAAAAAAAAAAAAAAAGATGAAACCCAGTTTCAGTTAAAATTTCTATTACCTCTTCAAAAAGTTGAACCTAGAGTTACCATATGACTCATCAATTCCATCCCTAGGCGTATATACCCAAAAAAACCAAAAAACATTATATCCACACAAAAGCTTATACAGGAATATTCAGAGCAGAATCATTCACAATAGGAAAAAATTGGAAACAATCTGTCCAACTTTTGAATGGATAAACAAGATCTGGCTTATATCCATACAATGTAATATTATTCAGCCATAAAAGGAATAAAGTACTGACTCAGGCTATATCATGGATGAGCTTGGAAGACATTATGCTAAGAGAAAGAAGCCACTCTTAAAAGGTTATATATTTTTCTGGGTTTTATGCACAAACAATGAATCATGGAACACTACATCAAAAACTAATGATGTAATCTATGGTGATTAACATAACAATAAAAAAGATTCTCAAACAGAAAAAAAGAAGGTTATATATTTTATGAGTCCATTTATAGGAAATGCCCAGCACAGGCAAATCCACAGACATAGAAAGTAAATAGATGGTTGTTAGGAGCTAGGAGAATGGAGGTGTGGAGAGTGACTGCTAATAGGCGCTAGGAGAATGGAGGAGTGGAGAGTGACTGCTAATGGGCAGAGGACTTCTTTCTGGGGTGAGAAAATGTCCTGGAACTAGTGATCTTACAACTTTGTGAATATAACAAAAAAAGCTTTCTGGGATTTGAAGTAGGACTGTGTTAAAATCAGGATAAATTTGAGAAGTTTGAGGAGTGACTTCTTAAAAAATACAGAATTTTCAAATCCAAAAACATGATGTACGCCTTTTATGTCTTCCTTATTTTATCTTAGCAATGTTCTGTAGTTTTCAGTGCAGAAGCCTTGTACTTCTCTGGTTAATTTATTCGTATTTTCTGGGGGGGGGCACTGTAAATGGTATTTTAAAAATTTCATTTTCTAACCATTTCCTTCCAGTGTATAGAAATACAGTTGATTTGTATATATGAATCATGTATTCCATGGCCTCACTAAATTCATTTATTGGTTCAAGTACTTGTTTTGAAGATTCCTTAGGATATTCTACATATGCCTCCCCCCCCCTTTTTTGACCTTATTACATTACCACCTCCAGGACAATGTTGAGTAGAAATGATCTAAGTAGATAATCCTTGCTTTGCTCCTGATCTTGGATATGATGTTCTCTTTATTTTATTTATTGATATGACTGTGTTTAAGCTATCATTTTGCTATTTCTTGTTACATTTTGTTTCCTATTTATTGCATCTGATTTTTGCTCCTCTGTTCTTCCCCTCCTGCCATATTTATTTATTTACTTTTTGGGTAAAGGAGAGGGGATGGGCTATACCTTTTTCTAAAAATGTTTTTGTTCTAGCGATTATAGTATACAGCCCTGATTATGGTCTACTTAAAATTAAAAAATTAAAATTATTGTGTCACTTCACATAAAATATAAGGGCTTTGCAAATAATTTACTCCAGTCCTGTATTTTACATCTACATTTATTATAAACTGTGC